GAGCTGGAACACAACAGAGTTGTTTTCTTCTTGCCTCGCAGGGAATCGCTGTGGGAAACGGCCTCTCATCCTATGAGATCAATGACAACTCCCTGGTTTACTTTGCCTATTACCACGGCCTGTTGGGGACCGAGTAAGAAGGCGGGGGGTGGGGGTGGGGGGTGAGCCACTGGATGCACCGTTCCCATGCGAGTGGGCCAGGGCTGGCTGGGTCAGTTGTGTGCAGGACAGGGGTAGCTCCTGTCCTGGGCCAGCAGCTGGGCTGTGGAGATGGCCCCTTGTCACGGGCAGCTCCCATGGGCACACAGGGCACCAGCTGAGCCATGTGCTGTGCAGCAGCAGTGCAGGGAGCGTGCAGTGCTGCTGCAGCCACAGCCAATGGCTTTGTGTTGGTGTTGCCATCTGGGCGGTGCGGTCCAAGACCCTGGTCTCTGCCCACAGGCTGTGGAAAGACCTGCAGACCTTCTGCTGCTCCCAGGAGAAGTGCAACTTCCACGACAACTCCAACCTGAACTGCACGCTCAAGGTGAGGGGAGCTGCAGTCCCCGAGCACGTGCCCTGCACTGGTGTCTGTGGGGAGCACCCACCTGGCTCTGGCCGGGTGCACGGACCCTGGATCATCCTGCTGAGTCCCAAGCCCTTCTTGTGGCTCGTTGCAGATGGAAGAGATGATTCAGATTGTGGAGGAGTCTGGCCTCAACATCTACAACCTGTATGCACCATGTGATGGCGGAGTCCCTGGAGGCATGAGGTGAGAGTGGGCCCAGGGAAGTGGGTCTCTGGCGCTGGCTTGGTTTGGTTTGCTTTGCTGTGTGTGGGGTCCTGGCTGGGATGGGGTCCTGCTTGGACACGTTGACCGTGCCTGGCTGCTGTCAAAGCTCCCCGAGCGAGGGCCCTAAGCTCTTGCTGCTCCAGAGCTCTCAGCCCGTCCCACCTCATTCCGGCTGCAGGTATGAGAATGACTACCTCATCACACACGACCTGGGCAACTCCTTCATCCGGATGCCAATGAGGTTCTCCTGGCGGCAGGTGAGCTG